CTTCCTGCCAAGGAGGGACTGAGGGACTGGTGTACAGTAGAAAACCCAGAGGGTACTTCTCCCAGGAGTTTATTTCATTTGATCCTCCACTAAGTACCACGCAGGGCACTGGCATGAAAGACAGACCATCAAGCCATGAGCTCCCGACCAGTTTGGGGGTGGGCGGTCCTAGAAGCTGTTTCAAGTGCTGGTCCTTGAGATCCTGTGTCTCTCAGTAACATCAACTTCTTTCTTCTGGCAACTTCTTTCTTCTAGATATCTCTCCCGATACCTAGAACATCGTCACAGAACCAAAAGGCTCTGAGTTGAGTTTAGAAGAGGAGAAGACAGGATTCTGATGCCTAACAAGGAGGTGTGTGGAAGAATTTTGAAATTTTCTTAGAGAAGTGGCTGCTCAAGTAAACAATTCCACTGCTGAAAGGAAGAGAGCGCTGGGACTGGTCCATCAGTGAAGAGCACTTTCTACCCATTATCTTCTCCCCATAAAGGACCCACTCTTCCAAGATTTCCCTGGGGCCTCAGAACAGGAAGCTGCCCAGATGCCCATCGGTCTCCAGGGGCCCCTCTTCCACTGAGATTCACGGGGCTGAAATTCATTATGTGAATGAGTAAGACGCGGTGATTATGCTCTGTAAATGAAAGGGAGAGTGTGCCTACGGGAGGATTGTGTGTGAGAGAGAGGGAGTTCAAGTCTACAAAGGCCTTGTGTGTTTGGGTGTTTAAAGAGGGACTATAATTACAGAGACACTCAGACAACCAAGGGCAGTCATAAGCCACTTGTATAGGGCAAGCAATTGTTTTCCTATACCCAGCCGTTATAATGGTGGGTTACAAGGTTTCCAAAGACATTTGACTTTCACTGTGATCAGCGGGGTTTGGCGAGGGCTGCAGCATGTCAGTCAAGGTTCCTCTTCCCTAATCACAGCCGACTGTCTCAACCCTGAGCACAGAAACCCCATGAGTGGACTTTCTCAAAGGTACTGGCGTGCATTAAGCACTTCCTCGGTGCTCAGCACTGCACCAAGAGTTTTATACACATTCTCTTATTTAACACTTGTCTTTTTCCCTCTTGGGAAGCTGCACTTCTATTCAATCGCTTTGCCGGGGCTTCCGAACCAGGAATTGAGGATCTAGGCATCTGCTGAAGTCCAGTATGGAGAGCACTAGAGTAGAAGTCAGGAGAACTCAGCGTCGGTACGCCATTCGCATCACTGATCTGGTTCTCTGGCTTGATTTTCTCACCTGTCCAAAGAAAAGGGATCATCCAAGGTCAGAGGCTGTCAGTCACAAGACTGCATTAGAATTCTGGTCTACATAAAATCTAAGCTCACTTCCAGATCCAACACTACAGGACTGTTGGAGGCTGCGGAAGGCAATATAGCATGAGGATTAAGAGCCCAGGCTTGGAGGACCCCGATGTGCGTCCTGACTCCATCGATTTCAGTTGTGCAATTTCAGATAAGTTACTCTACTCCCCAAAGCCTCAGCTTCTTCATTATTAAAGTTAGGATAATAATACTACTCCTCTCTATAGTTATTATGAGCACTAAATAAGTTAATACTTAAGCAGTGCTCAGAAGGGCTTAATACATTTTGTTGTTGTTGTTAATCCTCGCCCGAGGATACCTTTCCATTGATTTTTAGAGAGAGTGGAAAGAAGGGGGAGAGAGAGAGAGAGAGAGAGAAACATCAATGTGAGAGAGACACATTGACTGGGCCTGCAACCGAGGTACATGCCCTTGATCAGAATCAACCCCGGGACCCTTTAGTCCACCGGCCGACACTCTATCCACTGAGCCAAACTGGCTAGGGCAGAAGTGCTTAAAAAAATTTTTTTTATGTCAAGAAAAACGATTTTAAATATAATAATGTTACATGCAATAAACCTTAATATTTCAAGAAAAACTATTTTAAATATGATAATGTTGCATGCAATAAACACCAATTATTATTCAAAAAAAATCATACATATAATATTACATGTAATAAACATTAATATTTCAAGAATGAAAGGATTTTACGTATGATAATATTCTTAATACATTTTTAAAAGTTTCACAAATGTTATCTAACAGTGCTGTTAATATTTTCATTTTTTATTCTTATTTTTATTACCACCAAGCCTTACTCGGCCCCCCAAGATGGCCGCCATCACCGCCCTCCCACGTTCTCTGGTATTCCTAATGGAAGGGAGGAAAGCTAATGGGAATGGCCTCTCCCCGCTTTGCTCATGGACTTCCCATGATACATTGGCAGCCCTTCGTCCATATTTGGACTCTATAATCGCCATCCTCCTGTTTCTCCCTGTCCTCCATGATCTTTGAAAAATAAAAAGCAACTCCTTCCCCAAAGGAGAGATTGAGGGCCTAGCTCATGCCGTGAAATCTAAACTCCTCCGCTGGGCCTTTTATGCCCTTTGACAACTAGGCTGACCACTCCCTGTCCTTCAGGTCTCAGCCAAGTGCCACCTCCTCAGCGAGCCTTCCTAGGCCACCCAACTGAAGAAGCCCAAACCATGATCGGGATTCCATGTTGTATTTCCTCCGTAGCATTTACTTCTATGTACACCTGTTTTGTTCACTTGAATCTTTACTGTTTTGTTGCCTGTCTTCCCCTCCTGCCCCAGCTAGAATGAGAGTGGGGCTTTATCTGTCTCATTCACTGTTACATCCCCCGGGGCCTGGCACAGAGCTTGGCAAGTAGGAGCTCTTCATTCATACTGATTGACTACCTGGGCTCAGTTCTACTCTTGGCTTGGCCACTCACAGGCTGTGAAACTTTGGGCAAGACATTTCATCTCTACAATGGGGATTGACTCTACCAGGGGTGGGCAAACTTTTTGACTCGAGGGCCACAATGGGTTCTTAAACTGGACCGGAGGGCCAGAACAAAAGCATGGATGGAGTGTTTGTGTGAACTAATATAAATTCAAAGTAAACATCATTACATAAAAGGGTACGGTCTTTTTTTTTTTTAGTTTTATTCATTTCAAACGGGCCGGATCCGGCCCGCGGGCCGTAGTTTGCCCACGGCTGCTCTATCCCCTAGGAGAGTTTGGAATGCCTCACGCACTGCTCCCCATTATCATTAACTTCCTACACCTCTGTGACAGAAACCTTAGCCCAGGACCCTTGTCACCTCGCCCAGGACTCTCATCTCACCGTGGAGGCAGCTGAGGACCAGAAAGATAAAGTTACTTGTCTAAAGCGACGCAGCCAGCTGCTTTGCTCACCTTGCAAACTCACTTCTCTTTCCCCTTGACATGGAAACCTGGCTCTAGCGAAATTCATTAGCCTGGCTTCTGCTCAGAGCTGCTATCCCAGCACGTGTGGCTCCATGTAAGCATCTCACCCACGGAGGCTCGCTCAGCCTCATCTCTGCGTGTGTGTAACTCTCACCTCCTCTAGGAAGCCACTCAATGGACCTCACACGGATCTGACTGCTTCATTTTTCTCTGTATCTTCAGCAAATGTGGACTCCATTGCTAGCCCAGGAATATTCCATTTGCACTTACCTGCCCTTTGCTAATTAAATGTCAAACTCGTTTGCTAAGATTGGACGACAGCCCCCCTACACTGGAAACTCATCAATACCAAGGCTTCCTTTTCTTTTAGTTCAGTCTCCATGGCAATCCCCAGAGCAGATGTGGACTGCTTGGCGGAGCCAGATGTGTGCAGGAGGTTCAAAGTAGATGATGATCAGCCCCAAAGGAGGAGGCACTGAGGCCAGAAGGAGGCAACCCCAGAATTCGGTTTGGAGACTTAGAGTTCCCTGCTCTCAGTTTTTGATGATTCCCCAACATCAGGACCAAGCATGACTTCCGCCTACCTGTAAAACCCAGCATCCCGGAGTATCTCCCCAAAAAGAATTAAGGAGAAAGAGAGGAGGCTAAGAAATGAAGGAGAATAAGCTCTATGATCTCAGCCAGGGGGAGGGACGTGGCTAAAAGAAATATCCCAGCCCTGGCTGGTTTGGCTCAGCGGATAGAGCGTCGGCCTGCAAACTAAAAGGCCCCAGGTTCGATTCCGGTCAAGGGCACATGCCTAGGTGGTGGGCTCAATCCCCAGTGGGGGACTTGCAGGAGGCAGCCGATCCATGATTCTCTCTCATCATGGATGTTTCTATCTCTCCCTCTTCCTTCCTCTCTGAAATCAATAAAAATATATTTTTTTAAAAAATCTCCCAGTTCCTCAGATTAGACACTATTACGTCACTGATTTACCATGTGAGGATTTAGACCAGGTTTTACACAGAGAAGAGATTTCAGGACTTGCCATTTGTGTGCGTGTGAGCTTGACGTCGCCACCATTCTGTGTCAGAGGTCCCTGAACATCCCAGATGTGTTTCATCTGCTCTGCGTGGAAACTGTGCCACAGAGCTGGGCACGGCAGATGACATCTCCAAAGGCCCAGGCTCTGGGAAGCTGCTTGGAAGGCTCGGGCAGTGAGCCGCCTCATCCACTGGCTTCCTCACGTGCCGGCCCCCTTGGCCAATCCTCTCCCAGATGTGGAGACAGCTGAAGCAGCTGGACACTCATCTAAGGACCCGTGAATTATAGCTCTGGGCCTGGGTCCATTCTTCTTTGCTCAGAGGAAATATTTAACTCTACTTTCCCCCCCGCTCAGCCACCCACTCTGTCCTTTCCTCTGGGGTTTAACTCCTGTTTGTTCTCTTGGAGCTGGGAGGCTAGAACAAAGGGTCCTGATTAGACTCTGGGAAACTCACCGAATAATGCATCCAGGCTGCCTCCTGCTAGCACCCTGACTCTCCCTTATACAGCCATGTTCCTCGCAGGGGGAGGGTAAATTAATAGAAGAGTAGTCTTACAATAGTCTCACACATCGAGTCCGCAGAGTGAAGAACATCATTTGGTACTCTTGCAATTAGAAAGCATGATAGATGCCATTCTCATCTCCGGAGTTTGCAATTTACTTGGTCAGTTCTGCCAAGAACACCCGAGGTGAGCTAAGGCTCTTGCTCTCTTCATTTAGGTAAATTAAGGGGTAGGCACTGTGTTCCTCCATTCTCTCCTCTTAGCACAACCCTCTCCCTTCCACCTCTCCATTCCCTGCCTGGCCTCAGCACCCCCATGCTTTCTGTCAGCTCTCTCGCATTCTTCTCATGCACCCACACTCCCCTTTCTCGAAATTTGCTGCTGCCAGCATCTTCATTTATGCCAGGGTGAAAAAATAGCTGATAACAGCTTTACAATGTTTCCATTCACATATATTTACACCTTAAAAAGATCAAAGCCTTTTCCTAAACAAAGTTCTGATAGTAGAATGTCAGACAGTGACCAGAGAGGGGTACTTTAAGAGGGGGGGGGGGGGGGGGGGGGGCAACCAAAGAATCCTGAGGTCAGGTCACCTCTGGGGTGGTGCAGGTTGTCCACCAGGGGGCACAATTCTTATAAACGAGGAACAAATGATTCCATCTTCCACCCCCCTGTCACCCATCACTCTCACTGAGCCCAACAGGTTGGGAGCATTCTGACTGTGCCTTCCAAGATGGGGGTTTCCAATTAGTGAGCTACTGCCCTATTTTTTTTCCCTCTGGCATCTCATTTAGAAACACTTTGCGGAATGCCTGCCTCCTCCGTCCCCATCTCTTACTAACCTCATCCATGCACATTACTGCACTCCATGCTTCACACTCCCTCACCTCACTCTTTCATTTTTTAAACTTTAAGCTTTTAATTTTTTAAATATATTTTTATTGATTTCAGAGAGGAAGGGAGAGGGAGAGAGATAGAAACATCAATGATGAGAGAGAATCATTGATCAGCTGGCTCCTGCACGCCCCCTACTGGGGATTGAGCCTGCAACCCGGGCATGTGCCCTTGACTGGAATCAAACCTGGGACCCTTCAGTCCGCAGGCCGATGCTCTATCCACTGAGCCAAACCAGCCAGGGCCTTCACGTCACTCTTGAAGTGGAGAGGTCAGTAGGCAATGGGGATGAGCGGCATGGACACCAAGGTGAGAGCGGGGAGTCCAGCCTGGCAAAGGAAACCTCTAACTGAGCGTCCACAGCCTGGCATGCATGAGGCTTAGAGGCGTGAGTCTTCTCTGAGCCTCAAGACCATTAGAAATTAAAGGGCAGGAAACTCTGGTGTTTAACTAAAGAAGAACATGAGACCATCCCTTGACCCAGGCCGGTGGCAGGAGGAAAGCTGTTTGTGGCTCTCACGGCTCAGGCCCACCTCCCACCTGAGTGTGGGTCCCAGCGCAGAGCCCTCTCTCCTCCCACCCTCCACCCCCTGGGCTCCCCTGTGCTCTGCTGAGAGGCCAGATGTGATCTCCTGTTTTTAAAAAGGCTGTCCGGGCTTTGCCGGCCCTCGCTTCCTCTTCCCTGCACCTCTGTGCCCCTCCCTTGTCACTGTCGAGAGCCAAGAGGTGATGGGATCCAGGAATGTCGCTTCTTAGCCAACCTGGCGGGAGCAGCCCAGCAAAGTGTCCAATACTTTCAAGCTGTGGTTGGGGAGACTCCAAACAGCAAGTCACTCCAAGCAAAGATCTCTCCCTCCCTCCCCTTTGCTGTCCACGCCAGCCAGGAATCTTCTCCACATCAGGACAGTCCACCATCAACGGACCAACTGGAAGGCACCTGTAGACCACAGAGCCCAGGTGGGTGAAAATCACTGCGTTTCATTAAAAAAAAAAAAAGCAATGGTACTTCCTGCTTCCGGAAAGGCCCCAGATGTGTGTGACGGCGGAGGGGGGGGGGGGGGGGGAGAGCCACGGGGAGGGAAGGAGACAGCAACAATGGAGACTGGACAGGCAGCCTTCACCTCTGCTCTCAGAGCTGTGAAAAGAAAGAAAGTGGGGAATCGAGAAGCGAAGGGATGAGTAGGAAATTAAAAGGAAACAAAGAGAATCCCTATTTCACACATATTCAAACAGCAGAATGTACGCACAGCTTCAAGCTCCCAAATTCACATTCCCAGGCCCGTCACTGCCTGAGCTTCGTTGAGGTGCATCCATCCCGCCTCGCAACCCCAGAGAGTCCTTAGATCTAAAACCAAACCCCCTTCTATGCACATCCCCAAAACAACATACACGTGCATTTTGCCTCTTCCTCCTGTTTCCTCAACTCAGCCAATGGCTTCCCTATTCACCTCACCACTCAACCAGTCACCCTCATCTCCTTCCCT